TATATATATATATATATAATTCTTTATATACATATATACATACATACATATATGTGTACGTGTATATATATATGTATAGAAATATTAAATATATATATATTGACAAATGTACACGTATTATTTATCATTGACTGTTATGGTTTTCCTACCTCTTTAGTCTCAGAGATACACAAAAATCCGCAACATTTAAAATATACATATAAGTATGTATATGTATATATATATAATATATATAATATATAAACTTCTAATCACCGTGCAACGACAATTAGGATTAATGTAAAAAAAAAAAAAACACGTGCAAGACGCTGTTTTTCGAATTAATCAAGGGAAAACAATTTACACCAACTTATATAAATAAATAAAAAAATAAAACAAGTGATTTACAAAATCTTCGACAAGAATTGAAATCATTTTCGAAGAATCATCATCTCATCGTTAATAATAATATTAATAATAATAATAATAAAGCGTTAAGTATTGTACGAGATTAAACTTCGATGATAGTTTTGGAAGTCGACGATTTTATAATTAATAAAAGAGAAAGAAGATAAAAAGGAAGAATAAAAAGGATTAATTTTATAAAAAAAAAGAAAAGAAAAGAAAAGAAAAGAAAGAAAAAATCTACAACCCACTTTTGGGGTAGAATAAAATATAATTGGATATATGCAGGATAGTAGGAAGATGGCGTATTTAAAGATTCGAAAAAGGAAGTTCATGAACAGTATGATGATACGTTGATGCGTTGATCAAAGGACTCAAAGGCTTGTGATCGAAAGCATATTAGCAGATAAAACTCTTTGCTACCTATGTTATATTCAATTTCGTTATTTAAATTATTCAATTGGAACGTTGAAAAAAGAAAGAAAGAAAGGAAAGAAAGAAAGGAAGGAAGTAAAAAATAAAAAAGGAAACATGAAAACGAGATGAAATTGATGATTGATCCAAACGTTTGCTCAAGTTTCATATATCCGTTCAAAATTTCCAATGGAAATTTGTAAACAGGATTTTGCTTGATTAAAAATACAAACAAACAAAAAATCGAATAAAAAAAAAAAACCTGAGAAGAGGGTATTAAAAAGTCTTTGAAATATCATCAGAGTGTAGTTGTAGTACAAAAGACAAAAATTGATTATTTTAACTGATACTACTACTACTACTATACTATTACTATTACTACTACTACTATTACTTCTACTACTACTACTACTATTACTACTACTACTACTAATACTATTATTGCTAATCTACTACGAAATCCTGGAAATTGTCTAAAAAAACACATATATATACAGGAAATCTGTAATAATTCTGTTATTATTCGCGATAAAACGAAAAAATAAATCTTCAAGATGCCGCGGTGTTACATGGTTAAGAAGGCCCTGTGCAACAAGTACATTACCAGCGTTGCCAAAGGATTCGAAAGCTGGGGTCGTGGAAGAAACACGCCATCTCCAACGACCATACAGTTGCCTGTTTCGCCCATAGAAGGGTGCGTTGCACCCACTGTTGCGCAAGGTACGTGTATTTGCCATTCCCCTGTTTTTTTCTTTCTTTTTTTATATCTCCATTTATCACATATGTTCAAATAATTATGATCATCTCAACGTTCAATCTTCTAGCATACTCAACATTTATTTTCATCAAATATTTCATCATTTTCATATCAAACAAAATCATTCAATTTTAATCTATTTAAATTATTATTAATTTTATTAATATATATATATATATATTAAAATATAAAATTATTCTTCATTTCTATCCCTTTTATAAATTAGATGATACAATATTAAATTAATAATTATTATATAAAAGCTTTAATTTGTAATATTAATCATTGATTTTATAGTATAAATTATTTACGTACTAAAATAAACTAAAAAATTGATCTATTTCATTTCTTTTTGACTTACAATCAGTCGATATTATCACTGTCATAATTACCGGCACACGAAATACAATTCGTACATTTATAATTTTTTTGTTCTTCACATTATTATAACACGATGACAATTATTTTGTTTTTAAATTGAAGACATAACAGTCACCGGAACACCAACCATAAACGAGAACAACAATTCAAAAGAATCTACAAGTAATAAGGAAGAATTAACAATTGGAAGTGCATCGGATTTACCAAAAGTATCGCACATAGAAATGGCAACGGTAATAGCTTATACAACTACGACGAATTCCATATCAACCCCATCATCCGTAGAATCATCGAATGGAATGAAATTGACCGCAATTACTACTACTACTATTTCTACTACTGATACTACTACTACAACACACACAACTGCAGCAATAACGTTAACGACTACGACTACGACAAAGACGACGACTAATAATATGACAACAGTGTCATCCAATTTGCCAACGTCTAAAACGCGAGAACTCGTTAACACCAATAATATTTCGGCAAGCCATTGTTCACCGTTAAATGATTCAATCAAATCCTCGTGTTTACCAACGAGATATTGTAACACCGAGAACACCTCTGAACATCCGAACGATGATATCAAAATAAAATTGGCCTCTTGTTGTAACAACAACAACAACAACAACAACAACAACAACAATAATAATAACAACAACAACAACATTAATAATAATAACAATAACAATAGTATATCATCGTCAAATGTTTCATCAATGTTTAAAGATCGTTCGCCAGCCGAAACAGAAGCTGCTCACGATCTTTTAGAACTATCAAGATCTTTACCACCTTTACCCCCACCAAGTGTTGCAATCGGTCCTCAAAGCGTTATCGAAACACCTGCCACAGACGTTCAAGAGATGAGGGTGTACCAACCTGTCGAGCAACCAATCTATCAAGTAAACACTATCGATCTTACCGGTTCGGGTACCGTCTATCATCATCAACCACAGCAACAACCACTACCACCAACAGCAGCAGCAGCAGCGAGTATCATTTACGAGCCAACAACTACGATCGTTCAGCAAACATCGGGTGGTGTCTTTATACCACTTTCACCTGTTCAAGAGATTCTATTCACGTATAGTACACCGTCCATACCATGTACCTCGATTATGGCTCCTCAACAACAGCAACAACAACAACAACAGCATCATCATCAACCTATTCAACAACATCAACAACAACACCATCAACAACATCATCATCATCATCATCAGAATCATCAGAGTCAAGTAATCGAAACTGCACCACCATTGACACCACCAACCTCAGAATGTAGCAGTGATATTGAAAACAATAATCCTAATTCTCAACCAAGTCAACGGGACAAGGAAGTTCAAACGGTTACCGAACAAACGGAAGTTAAAGCTGCTAGTTACACTTATGATACGTTATTGGTAGCCGATGGCAGGTCCAAAAATAAGAAACTTCTTTCTCTGCAAAAAACAACACCGGAAACTGAGCCACCTGAAAATCTGGAAACATCGAAAACTGGTCGTTACGTTTGCTGCGAATGTGGTAATTATCGACATTTTATATCTTTTTATTATTTCAATTAATTCTGTTTTTATTAAAACTCTAATCGGTTATCAGTCAAATTTTTATGTTGATGATTCTCACTAATTGTAAGTGAAACTTTTTTTTGTAAGTGAACTTCGAAACTACTGAACTGATCTTAATGACATTTTGTGTAATTTTTTTTCAACTTAGAATATAGGATAGTTTTTCATCTCGATTATTTTTATTTTTTATTGCTAAATTTAAAGAATATATTATTTAAAAGTTATCTACGTCTTTAGGTACTGTAAGTTTTTAATAGATGGCACAGTATTACAATTCAATTATTTCACGTTATTTTTAAATTGGTTTTAAAAATGTTTATTTTTATTTATAAGTCACTTTTCACGTGAGCTTACGACCGATAAGGGTTCAAATTATAATTAAAATGATTGGATTTGTAATTAAAGATAAAAAAGAAGATATAAATTAAAGATAAAAAGTTATAATAATAATAATAATAATAATGTTTGAAGTGTTTGTCTCAGCGCGTGTAGGAAATAATCCCAATAGTTTCACTTCGATATTCAAAATTGAGTAGCATAAGCATGGTGGACTAGCTAATGAGTTCTATCCATTACTAGAGGATGGTCATAGCAAATTAGTCTTGATACGTACAATGCGTATCATAGAATGAACCTACTGATTACGTTCTATCTCTATCTATCTATCTATCTATCTTTTTCTCTCTGTTACACTCACTCGTCTCTAATTTCACGATTTCATAGAGTAACAGATCAGCTAGACCTTAAAATCATTTGAATTTCTATTGCTACGTGACTAGGATAGATTAACCATAATATATTACTACTTCTGTCAATATTGTTTCCAATTTACATTCAAATAGATTACGTAAATATTCAATTTCACTTTGTAGAAATATTTATATAATAATAAATGTTGTTTTAATATAAATAATATATAGTAATAAAAAAGAAACAGTGTAGATATTTTGTTTATTAATCTAGAATTTGTATAAATTATTATTTGCTTATAATTATAGAATAGATATTTGTACTTGTATATTATATTATATATATATACTTAAATAGAATTATTTTGAAAAATTTATAATTAATATTTATATGAACAAATAATTATTTTAAAATGATTTACAAATACAGATATTCTCAATCATAAATTATTAAATATTTATTAGCTAATAACTCAGAATTATTAATTATTAATTATTTATTAGATAATAACTCCGAACAAATCCTAATCAAAAAATTAATAATTATTTTTTAAAGTAAATAAAACATACGATTTTTATTAATTAAAAAAAATATATAAATATAAAAATGAAAACGAACATGTATCAATGTTTCTCTTTTTTCTTACGATGTTTTTTCAGGTAAACAATATGCAACCTCGTCAAATTTGTCGAGACACAAACAGACCCATCGCAGTATAGATTCTCAATCGGCAAAAAAATGCATTCATTGCGGCAAAGCGTACGTCAGTATGCCTGCATTGGCGATGCACATGCTAACGCACAAATTGACGCATAGCTGTGGAATTTGTGGAAAGATGTTTTCCAGACCATGGTTATTACAAGGACATTTACGTAGTCACACCGGTGAAAAACCATACGGTTGTGCACACTGTGGCAAAGCATTTGCCGATCGTTCAAATTTAAGAGCACACATGCAAACCCATTCGGCTGATAAAAATTACGAATGTCCTAAGTGTCATAAGTCATTTGCCCTTAAGTCGTACCTGAACAAACATCTCGAGTCGGCGTGTCAAAGAGAAAACGGTGACGAAAGTAGCAACGACGTTGACACCTCGCCGTAAATCGTGTGTGCCTGAAAATAAAGAAAAAATAAAATAAGAACAAAAAAAAAAAGAAAAATAAAACCCCCCAAAAAATTTGCGAAGAAACGTGAGACGACATTTTTCATAAAAATAACTGGCTACAACGTAAACGTGATTAAATTAGGTAAGGTTTTACTTCTTCTTTCCTTTTTGTTGTTGTTGTTGTAGTTGTTGTTATCTTTCTCTTTGGAATATTTTGTTATATTATTAATTTTTATATATATATATTTATAGAATTATATATTATGTGGTGTATGATATACCATATTGATATTCCAAATTAATTGATCAATGTAATATACATATAGTAATATTTATGCATATCTACGATACCTAAATATCTATGATATTTATATATATGATATCGACAATATCTATGCTACTTAATATTCAAGATACCAACATATCTATGAAACCTAAATATCTACAATACTAACATATATAATATAAACACTCACATATATCAGTGAATCTTTTATACCTATGAATTATACATTAATCTTTTATTTTTAAATATCTATGAAATTTACATATGCATTATATCTACATATCTATATTTGTAGCTATGATACTTACACACACATATATATAGATATTAATGAATCCTTCATATCAATGACACCTACATATCGAATGAAACGAACATGTTTATAATACCCACATAAATATAAACAACATATATAACAGAAAAAACAATCTATAAATTAACTTTTAATAAATAATTAAAAATTTTATAAATAATTAAAAGAAACATATAAAATTTTTTCATAAATTTTAATTAAACAATAATAATGAAATAATGATAAAACTTGTTAATGATAAAACATCACTTATCGATGCAACCCAATATATACACACACATATATTTCATATACATACATATACATATATATATATATATATATAAATATCCCGGTAGTGAAAGAGACGGTGTTACTAGAGCGTGCCCGTGTCTTTCTCGTTACACCCATACCCTTTTTGTAATCAGAACGTTCATCGTTTACAGCACACATGCCAGTGAAAGAAATAAACTACGACATCCAGGGCAACCCCGGAGAAATATGGAGATCAACCGGTGTAGAAAAAAAGGAACAACACGAGCAAAGGCTAACACATAGATCCGGACGTTGTTGCAGTCCTTCGGTAACAAAAAAAAAAAATTAAAAAAAAAAATCTACAAAGATAAAGAGAACGAAAGACAGAGAGAGTGAGAGAGAGCGAGAGATACACATACACATATAGAAATAAACACATACATATGCAACTTTACTGAACTAGAAAGGGGTTTTCAAAGAGATCGTTTCTCCATTAAATCTCGATCTCAACACACACACACACACACATACAGACACACTACTCATTCTATTCAATCACGCATATCGGACTGCAACAATGGATTCATTCTTGAGAATAAAACAGAGAAAGAAATAATAAAAAAAAGAAAAGAGAGAGAGAGAGAGATTGATACTTTCGATTGCTTAGTTTGAAAACTTTCTACAGCTGTCAAACAACATTTTCATTCGCATTAGCTACTCGCGAACAAATGCGATTTCACATACACACACACACACACACATACACATGTATAATACTTACAGAAAGATTTACGTGTTTCTTTCTATAAGAAAGTTTCACTTACTTTCAATGTGTGGTAAGAAACACATATATAAAAAAAAGAAACAAGAAGACAAAAATTTGCCAAATCGTCCTTTGCTATCAAAAAGGATATTGGGGTGAGGGTGAGGGTGAGGGGGTAGGATGAGGGTGAGGGTGGGATGAATTTTTTATATCAAACAAACGTCACATTCGTGAATGAATCTTCTTCTCTTTTCTATCCGGACTTTGACCAAATATTATTGTCTGATTCTAAATATATAAAACAAGTGAAACGAATATAAACGTTGAAATAATATGTGAAGATTGTTTAAATGATCATCATTGCGTGTTATTGGATTATCATCGAAAACAAAAAAAAACAAAAAAAAAATATGATAATAATTTCGTATTATTGTCAGAACGTTGTGATAATGAATCAAAGTAATAAGAGAAAAAGAGATCAAGATAATGAAGATGAAGATGAAAATTGATCTATAGATATCTATAAAATTCATCGATCGATTTGTTTAAGATAACGAGATGACCACTTTTGAATAATATTTATTAATATTAATGACATTTTACTTATTAAGACGAATTTACCGAATATTTATGATGTCTTACATACACACCAACGTTAAATGGGATAACAAAACAAACGTTGCACAACGTTTTATCAATAATTCCATATAAATAACAACAACAAAAAAAGGCAGTTTAAATAATATAAACATTATAATATAAATCAGTAAAAAAAAAAAAATATATCAAATGGTCAGTTTATCACGAACGATCGTCGTTCGAATAAATTTCCCTTTTTTTTCTGGCTTATTTTTTTTTTTTTTTAAATCATAATACGTCGACACAAATACGCGATGATACTCGCGATCCATTTTGATATCGATTAAATTAAAAAAAAAAACACGTCCTTTGAATTTAAAATGAAAAAAAAAACTAATACTAAAGGAAAATAAAAAAAAATAAACGTACACAAATAAAATCAGGAAAATAATACGAGAAACACGAAAGAAATAGGAATAAATTAAAAGAAACGGATAAAATATAATACCAAAATGCGTAGGAGAAACCTGTGGTGAGGGGAGGGGAGGGGAGGGGGAAAGAACAGGGGATGTGAAAAATGTAAGAAAAAAAAATGAGTAATCGTTGCAATATTATCGAGGGACCATTATTTTGTCACTTAAACGAATACGCGAAGTACTTTTAATGCTTTTGATGCGTTAATTAAAAAAATAAAAAAATAAAAAAATAAAAAATAAATAAAATTGAAAAAAAAAAACCAAATGTAATAATAATAATAATAATAATAATAATAATAATAATAATAATAATAATAATAATAATAATAATAGTAATAATAATAGTAATAATAATAATATGAGAGATAGAAAAAAAGAGAGAAAGAGAGAGGAAGAGAGAGAGAGAATTGAGTGGATGAAGGGAGAAGGGTGAAAGGTGGTGGGTAGGGGAGGGGGGAATAAATTTAAAGAAGAACCCGTTCGTAAAAATCATGCGTTTCATAATTCAACGAATCTTTGATAAAGTTGGGTTAACGACATTTAATTTTAACCCAAATTTTGTTAAAAGAAACAATTTTTTAATCGGTGTGTCTTTTTACAACGAGTAAATTATCTCTTTCTCTCTCCTTCTCTCTCTCTCTCTCTATCTCTCTCTCTGTGTGATCGCAACTCGGAGAGATGAAAATTTTTAAAGAGAACATTCTTAATATAAACTCGTTATATATATATATATATATAAGGTATCTCGCGAGACATTTTCATCAAAATTCGTACTAATTGGACCACCTGTTGAACGCAGAAATGACTATTCAGAGGCAAAAGGGTCACTCGTTTCTCTACTCCCCTGAATAATAGAACATCATTTCCTCTGCCTACACACAACACCCACCCACCCACCTACACACACCTACACACTTACACACTTTACACACACTTTACACACGCATGTTGTGTAAGTTGGTATTCGCGTTTCTGATAAACAATATCAACATTATGCATATATGTATATTAATACATACATGATTAATATATGATATATATATATTAACGTTTTAACATAATAAATCTTGCTATTAATCGTCGTGAAAGAAAGAGAGAGAGAGAGAGAGAGAGAGAGAAAGATGGGAACATTTGTAAAACTTTCATTCGATTTTATTGGAAAATTTTTTTTTACACGGATACAACCTACGATAAAAAGCAATTGATCCTTCATGATCGAGTTTGTATAATTAATAATAGCAACAACAACAACAACAAAAATATCAAATAAAAGAGATTGATGAGAAGTAATACGAGATGAATAATGAACACCACTTTGAATATAATTCATGATATTACAAGGAAACGTTTACACGAATGTAAACGTATACTGATGGACAGACCAAAGAAAATAAAAAATAAAAAATAAAAGAAATAAGAAAAACCCAAAAAATGATACCAAAGAGAAAGGAAGACAACAACAAAAAATATATATATATATAATCGAAATAGGGAAATTAGTGCAATTCGTTAATTAAAATGTAATTAAAAAGAATAAAGGAATAATGGTGAAAAGATAAAAAGATGAAGTAAAATAAAATAAAGAAAAGAAAAGAAAAGAAAAGCAAATTTGAAAAAGGTAATTAAGCTCTAGTCAACAAATTACGCTTGATTTGTATAACTTTCCTAGTTGCCTATGTCCTTGGGCTGCTCTCATGTAACTTATAACTTGTATAGCGACATTTTTTTATTTATTATAAAAAAAAAAATTAAAAAAAAAAAATAACACTGTTCTATATTATTTATTACATGACGCAAAGCGTTCTATATATTATAGAGATATTTTGGTACTGAAGATTTTGAAAATCCCCGTGTACACGTAAAGTACGGGAAATATGATTAAAAAAAAAAAAAAAGAAGAAAAAAAAAGGAAGAGAATTGAGGAAACCACAAAAAAAAGGGAAGCAAAAAAAAAAGAAGAAAGAAAAAAAAAGAAAAAAAAATTAAGCGAAAGAGAAAGAGAAAAGAAACAAAAAAAATAAATAAAAGAAAAATAAGAAGAACGAAGATCAATCAATCAATTAATTAATTAATTAATTAATTAATTAATTAATTAAAATGATACGTATGTGTGAGTAGAATTGACACACCTGAAACTTACGAAAAAAAAAAAAACAGAAAAAAAAATACAATTTCATTAGAATTATGTGAAATGATAATGGCACCGTTAGCAATTTTATTCAGTACAAAAACCTTTAGACATTGAAGTCAGATAAAAAAAAAAAAAAAAAGATAAAAATGAAAAAACAAACATATTTGACGTCGTCTTTAGCCCATCATTGATGTTCCTCCCATTAAAAACCCTTTACCATCTTACCCCTTACCCCAACCCTTTAAATACCCAATCCCATATTCCTTTTAACACCACCTACTCCTTTCACCACTTAATATGATTATTCGTAAATAAGAAAATATATCTCATTTAATTTCATTCTCTCATTAATCCTTGTGTACACACATGTATGAACTAGTTATGTGTATGTGTATACAACACGGACACGAATATACATGCATAAACGATTTGAATGTGTAAGTAAGATAAATACAAGGAAGAAATGAGATTCATTAATAGACGGACACATTGACAAATACACACATACATGCATATAAATATATATTTGAATGTGTAAGATGAATACAAGGAAGAAATGAGATTCATAAATAGACAGATACATTGACAAATACACACATACATGCATACACACAGACACACACATACATAATCCTAAGTGCTTATAAGATTCGTGATATCCATAATTATTATTACATAAATCCTTGTCAATATATTTAAAAAAAAAAAAACAATTCCAATTCCATTCAAACGCTTCATATAATAATAATAATATTAATAATAATATACATGGAATGTATTTTGTTTTTATCAATAACTAAGAAAAAATTGCAATGAGAAAAACAAAAATATTAGAGGAGAAGGGGGTGAAGAAAACCCTTAAAATATTTGAATTCTTATGTTGAAAATAAATTCAAATTCAATGAATGGAATATAAAATGAAAGAGAGGATAATTGGAAAGGATTTAATAAAAAACGAAAAAAAAATAATGAGCATACATTTCATTTATGCCGATTACATAATAATTAATTAATAATAATAGTAATGATAGTGTAATAATGCTAATAGTAATAACAGTAATAATAGTAATAATAATAATAATTATAATAGTAATAATGAAGATAGAATGATAGAGAAAATGATAAAAGAGAGCGTATTTGGAATGGTAACAAAAGAAGAAGAAGAAAAAAATAAAAAAGATTTTTTATAGAATTTAATAATGCTCGGCATAGTTTCGCTGATTTGGTCAGACATTTTTTTCAAGAATACACTCAATTATTAATTATTATAATCTTATCTGTAATATATATATATATACATATATTAAAAGTACTCAAACAGTCAATCGAATCTATTCGAATAGAATAATAATAATAGTAATAATAATAATAATAATAAATGGTAGTCAATAAAATAAATTGAAGAATTGAATTTAAAAGTGTAACGATGATCGTTTTCTGAGAGACTGAGTTATAAAAAAGAAAAAAGAAAAAAAAGAAGGGATTTCAATTTGAACAAACGACGAAAAGAAATGTTGTTAGAAGAATAAAAAAAAAAGAGAGAGAGAGAGATAAAAAGTACAGAATTTTTTTTTTTATATATATTTACATAGAATAAAATTGTAAGCACGGGGTAAATAAAAAAAAAACAATGATCGAAGATTTGGCTAAAATTGGAATAAAAAAAAAATTAATAACAATTACGAGACACCACAAATAAAATAAAAAAAAAAAAGAAGAAAAAAAGAGACAGTCTGACAAACGGAAGAGAAAGAGAGAAAGAGAAAGAAGACGGGGGAGGGGAAAAAAGTTAAACTAAACAAAGAGAAAAAATAAAAAACGTCGGTGCCGTGCCGGTGCCGTTCATTCGATCGAACTTTGTTGCAAATTGAATGGAGATAATTGCGTTATATCCCTGTTGAAGATCGATAATTTAATGATGGGTACGAAATAAGAGAAAAAGAAAGAAAAAGAAAGTAAAAGAAAAAAGAAAATATGGGCGCCCAGGGTGCAAAAGGCTGTTCTCAAAAGGGAGAGAGAGAGAGAGAGAGAGAGAAGTGATAGGAAAGTTAACGTTTAAATGTGAAATTAATCGAGTGTTACATAAGGGTTTTTGTTCCTTTTTTAAAACAAAGGAAATATATACATATATGTGCATATATGTATATACATGTATGTATGTGTATGTATACTCGTATATACAGGGTAGTAAAAAAAAAATTTTTTTCTAAGAGGGATGTACAATTTCATTAATTTTATAAAATATTATATTTAATAATAATATACAATTTTTTAATGATATTATAAAATATTTTAATATTTTATTTATTATATTATATTATTTTATTATATTATTTATATATTTTATAAAATATCTTTCAAAATTTGTTAATATTAATTTTCTTTTCATAATTGTTCAAATAAAATTCATTAAATAAGATTGAACAAAATATTTTTGAAATCAAAAAATTATTATTACATATTTCATTAACATTTATCAAAATGTCACAAAAAGAAAAGAAAAAAAATGATGATAAGGGGTAAACTTTTTTACAGTTTCGCTCGTTTGGTAGAAAAAAAAAATAATTAATTTTTAAAATTCAATTAAAATTTGTTAAACTTACTCTGTATACAAGTATATATACATACATACATATATATCTATATATATATATATATAAATATCGTATAATGTATAGATTATATCCCAAGTATATACAGTTCTTATTTAAACACGCAGTATTAGAAAAATCTAGTCCTTGTTTTGTACCTTAACAAGCAATAATAATATACACACATACACATAA